GTATTTACGGTATTCAAAGTACATTGACAGGTAGCCATCTTGATTTTATCCTAGTGATGTTTTGTCTTTTGTCTAGATGGCGAAACATATTCTACTAGTCGGTAAGACATAGTAACATTTACTTCCGCTAGATGGCAGCATCATTTTACTAGTCGGTACATTGAAGTAATATCTAGTACCGATAGATGGCGATACACATTTTACCAGTCGGTAATAAAATATAGATTACCTAGACGCAGACAATATGTTTTTATTAATTGATTAAAAATAAATGCAACTCCCCAATCAATTTTTATATGTTAAATGTAAGTGTATTTTAATAGTATTATAATATTTACCTCTTCTTTTAAGAAATTTATTATATTTGCCTCTAAACAAATTATTGTCTAGATTATTTGTAGTCAGAGCAGCTGCATTCTATTCTCATAATAATTCACATGGAATTTTTAGCAAAGAAGATATTAATTTATATAAATACATAAATTTTTCTATGGCAGTCGATGAAAAATAATATTTTCCATTATCGTTTAGAAAACCTGGTAAAAAAAAATTTTGTACAAGAACAGAGTTTCATAATATAATGTATTAGCCATTTGTTTTTCTAATTTGTGATAACTAGGATGCATTCCTTCTGCAAATCTTCTGATAGAATATAACTGCATATGATTTCTTCCCAATGTAAGTATAATAAGAATAGTGCATTCAAAAATCTTTCATAGTTGCAGTGTTGTTGGATTCTTCTTATCAATCTTGATAGTAATAAGTAGACACTTTCAGTTTACCTCCCCTGTTGTATGATCAATTATCAACTCCTACCCTACGAACTTTTCAGAAATACCCTACCCTACGAATAGGTATGTTATATTGTTGTATGTTCATAGTGACATCCATGAACAGACAATGTCTATGTTCAGGAGAGATCTTGGAATCGATKTAATGCAAGACTCTTTTTGATGTGTGTATTACAGTTGCACACATGCGTAGTGTTCGGAAAGTCATATAAACTGCATTGAATAAAGGAATTCTGACAGATGACAACGTGTCAGTCTGAAGGTGAATCTCGAAGAGGACACTACTCCGATCTTATAATTCAAGCTTTTAGACATCAATAATTATTCTCATCGATTAATTAACAATAATTTATGCATTTTAATACACTTATTATACAATACAGGACAATTTAACCCTCGAAGTCATCACTGTGTAGGAGCGATAAAATAATTACATTAGAATAAAAATAATGTTAAAATTAGAACGATATAAGCTTAAATTCTCTTCATTAGAAATATTATAATCATTCCACACATGCTCAACATTCGGAAAGTTATCTAAACAACATTCAATAAACGAATTTGCATAGAGGACAACGTGCCAGTCAGAAGGTGAATCTCGAAAAGGAAAATACAAAGATTAATAATTCCGAGCTTTTCGACAATGATAGACACTCCCTTTGATTAATTAACAATTATTCTTATATTCTAATAAGTTTTTTTTACAATACAGGACAAGTTAACCCTGGAAGTCAGCACTGCGTAAGAGCGATAAAATAACAACATTAGAATGAAAAAAATGGTAAAATTAGAACGATATAAGCTTAAATTCTCTTTATTAGAAATATTATAACCGTTGCACACATGTGCAGGATTCATTCCTATAACCATATAAACAACATTGAATAAAAGAATTTTATATAGGGAACAATGTGTCAATCTGAAGGTAAATCTCGAAGAGGAAGGTACTTGCAATAAAATAAGTTAATACAATATTTAAAATAATGGAATGACTAATAAAGTGAGCAGCAAATAATATAATAGAAATAATATATATATAAGGTAAAAAACATTAAAATGTAAGAATAAACAATAAATAAGATATTAGAATTATTTTGATTTTGAAAATTAGAAAGGTTATTGTGAAATAATAAGAAATATTATTATCATGGTAGAGTGTAATAAAAGAAACAGGCAACTCGGCAAAATATTTAGTTGACGTTAGGCGTTCCTCAATGGCACACGTTCACTCGCGTAACATGATCGGGTTGGTAAACTTTTCCTTTTTCGTTCTGCACATAATAAAAGAAAGTGATTAGATTATCCTTTTTTACAAATACTATCGCGACAAAGTGCACGTAACATAAATGTCTTATTTTCTATTCTCTCTTATTTAAAAACATTTAGTGTTCATTCGTTTATCTGTAGTTAGCGGTAATGTTGGAAAATTTTTGAAAAATCCTCATTTGTAAAATGATCCAATGAATTTTTGTATATTTCGAAGGATATCATAAACGAGATCGTAGTTTAATAGTAACCTTGGTTTGATTTTCATGCTTGTCATCATAATACGAGTTACTCGAGCGAGCTATATCTTTATCGTGATTAACATTCTACATTTAGAATTTGATTATTATCTATATTCTTTATCTTGAACATTGTCCGATAACGCATTCGTATACACATTTCGCAAAACATAATACTGGTTTGAAGAGAAGATATTAAGGAATATAATACAAGAAAGATATTAAGGATTACTAAAATACTATAATATCTTACTCTGACATTTCAGTGTCAGATATTTCGTTCTCCAATTATACTTAACTACAAATAATTATATTGTAATTAAGCATTTACGTTTAGTTTTCAAAAATAAGACAATGATCGTACATTAATTAACTAATAATATGTAGGTAATATCATTTTTAAAAAGGAAAATCGAATTTTTATGATTTAAAATAGAAGTTGAAAAATAATCTGTAAATATCTTATTTAAACATGTGAATTCTATGGATCAACAATAAGAGAAACAAAAAAAATAAATCTATCCAACGTTTAAACAAGGCTTTTTGTAATCATTTGTTATCTTTTGTTTTTGAAACGTCGGATATTTGACAAGATGTAACATAACACGTTTTTAATAAAAATGAAAGAGAACAAGAAAAAGAATAAAAAAAGAAAACAAGAAAAAAAGAAAAAAAAGAAAAAAAGAAAAAATAAATTCTCGTCAATTTATTCGAATCGTTGATTAATTTATCGAACTTTGTAGGAATATAACAGTATCCAATCTGCGGATAAGTATGCAGTAAAGCAAATCGAATGAAATCTATAGGAGTTACGTAATTCTTGTGATTGGCATAGTAAACTCTTTCGAGTATGTGTGCGATCACACTTACGTATCATTCATTTTCTACCGATAGATGCGCATAGCATATTGAATTTAATTAGTAACGCTTTCAAATAGTAACTAGTATAAACGCGCCAAATATGTGGCGCATATGTGAATAGTTATTATATAATTCGTAAGTATTTGATTTCCGAAAAGTAACTCTCAAGAAATGATATTTATATTTATACTAATGATAAAAGAAGCTTCATTAAACTATAATAGCTAAAAATCAAAATAATATTTAACCGCAGATGTATCTGTAATGTATTTGTTATGTATTTGTAATTGAAGGTTTTTTCATCACGATTTCACTTTCAATGGCTTTGATATGCCATTGTTATACGTTATAATTAAACATCTGCAATGATTTTTTTCTATACGTTAATTTTATCTAATCAATCTATTGTCAAAATGTAGTCAAAATATTAATGACAATTTAAACTCTAAAAATGTTTCTTTTTCTCTTTTGCTATTTTTCAAGATAAGTCTGAATAAAGTCTTACTAGAAAGTCGAAGAAAAATATAATTTCATTTAAAAAGGACAGTATTCTGATTAAAGCAAAAAATATCATAAAATATTACAAAACTTAAGTTATTACACAGCACAGTTTTATACATTATAATAATAAGTATTATTCTAATATTATTAATGCATTAACGCACATTATTTAATATGTCGCACAGAGCGAAGAAGAAACTCCTACTGTTCGGTGTATGTGTCCTGTTAATCATATCTGTAATATTAGCCGTCATTATAGTATTTATTATTCAACAAGGAGGATGCGACATCAAATTCAATAGTTTTTCGGAACTCGGACAGTACAGGCAGGTAAATATCACTTAATGTTCGTTTTTCAATCGAGCAAAATATTTATTGATAGTAATAAGTGAAACGAAGATGCAAATTTCAATGTAACTGATAATAACAACGTCACTGAAAAGAGAATGGATCTTATTGCATGTCATCACGATAATCGATAATTAAAAATCGCACAAATAGGCAGCGGTATCAACAAATGGACAAGAATGTGCTCGAATAGGCGTCGGTATACTAGAGAAAAATGGAAGTGCCGTTGATGCTGCTATAGCTACTCTTCTTTGTGAAGGTGTAGCTTCATTGCATAGGTACATTTTATCAAGTTTCTTAGTTTTTTTTTTCTGTCTTTTTATTTTTATTTTTATTTTTATTTTTATTTAGACATTAACATAAGCACTTTCTTATTTATATAATGAAAAGCATCACATTTTCTTATCAATTTTAAGTATGGGACTGGGTGGTGGTTTTCTGATGACAATATGGGATGCAAAAAATGGAAGGGCCGACTACTTGGATGCAAGAGAAACGGCTCCAGCCAAAGCTACAGAAAAGATGTTTAATGGAGATCCTAATTTGTCAATGTATGGTATGTACATATGTAGTATCATCTATAATCATTCTTCATTATTTTCCTTTGTTCTTTATTTTTCTTCTTCATTTTTTTTCTTCACTGATATCGAATATGTACATTCGATTTATCGACATATTTATAAGATGAATTTTTATCCTCGACACAAGTATTTGTTTAAATCTCGAAGAAATTCAAACTATTTTTCTTGTTCTATTAAAAATCAAAATCCGTTATTTTATCTTAAAGAAAAAAATACCCTTTCCCATTTGTCAAAATTTATTAATCAATTATTCATTGTTAAAGGACAATCTCTTGCTTACACATAATCGATGTTTCTACAGGTGGTTTAGCGGTGGCTGTACCAGGTGAATTACGAGGATACTGGGAAGCCCATCAAAAATATGGCAAATTAAAATGGCCAGAATTATTTAAACCAACGATCGAACTATGTTTGATAGGCTCTGTTATCAATGATTATCTTCATGCCTATCTCATCAATAAAGAATCTAAAATAAAAGCAGAAAGTACATTGGCCGAGATCCTTATCGATCCAACTACTGGACGACCGTGGAAGGTAAACGTTTTATCCTAACTGATATGCACAACTAGTCACTTTATTCAAATACCATTCAAATGAATTTGGTTTCTTTTCAGGTAGGTGAAAGAATAAAGAGACCAAAATTGGCTGAGACGTTAAGACTAATAGCAAAGAATGGACCAGACGCGTTTTATAACAGCACTTTGACCGATCAAATGGTTGCTGAAATTCAATCTTTCAATGGCATCATTACCAAAGAAGATTTTCTAACTTATAGGTTCGTGCATATGAGAATAATTTCGATTAATATCGATTAATCACCATGATACTTGAAAAAAATACTCAACATATATATATATATATATATATATATATATATTTTCTATTTTTTTCTTTTTTTCTTTTTTTCTAATTAATCACTATTTTTACATTATTATTTTATTGAGGATTTATCAATACCGTAAAGAAATATAATCTATCAAAATAAGCAGCTAAATATTGCTCCTTTCATGACAATGAAATCATCAATTCAAAGTCCTTTTCTTCTAATTCTAAATTATTTCTCAAGTTAATGTTTCATTACAGTGTCAAATGGAGAAAACCAATCGAAATAAATATCGATAATTTAACAGTGTACACAGCACCTCCGCCCGGCTCCGGAGTGATACTTGCATTCATTATCAACGTTCTTCAAGGTATCGTACCAACAGATAATCAGAACGTCATGTGGCATCGTATAGTTGAAGCCTTCAAATGGGCTTACGCAAGAAGAACGGAGTTAGGTGACCCTGAATTTGTCGATATTGGTGAGCTACTAAGAAATTGTACAAGTTAATTTATTGACAGAATAATGGAACGTTAAATTTGTCTGAGATAAGATAGCATGACAACGATTTCTCACTTTGCTCGCTATATCAAAATGTTTGAAGGATTTATAACAATTTTTATCGACTAACAAATAGATATACATCAATTAAATCTATCAATTAAACTAATTTTTTGTAGTAAATTTAAATCCTTTTACAACAATTATAGTTTCTTCGTGTCGATTAAAGTATAACATCATATTAATATCATTCGACGTTTTCATCTTTCCCAGAAGAATTACGAGATTAATCGTTTCTTTCTAGAAAAGTTAATTGAACATAACGTAATCGTATGACTCGTTAAAATCGAGCAAACGAAAGAATTAACGAGAGAATTAACGAGAAAATAGACTTATCATCCTTAAAGAGTTTACACTGTACATTTATGAACAAACTTATTTATCATTTTTGTAGTTAGTTTGTTAACAAATCTTACGTCAAGCGATTATGCGAAAGCAATAAGAAATGAAATAAAAGATTACGAAACAAGTAACGATCCGAAACACTATGGTGCCGTTACGGCAACCACTACGGATTCTGGAACTGCCCACGTCTCTGTGTTAGCACCCGATGGTTCTGCGGTATCGGTTACTTCTACAATCAACCAAGTGTAAGTCTGTTAATCGATTTTAATCGATGTAATCATAAGATTTTAAATCGGTTCAAGAAGTAATAAATAATAACTCTATTCGATTTCTTTTCTCATATTATTATTATTATTATTATTATTATAGTTTCGGAGCAATGATTCGGTCGAAATCTACTGGTATAATATTCAACGACGAAATGGATGACTTTAGTTCACCTGATATAACCAACGGGTTTGGAGTTCCGCCATCACCAGCTAATTTTATTAAACCAGGCAAAAGGCCTTTAAGTTCTATGAGTCCGACGATAGTGGTAAATGTCCCTTCAAATCTTATCTTATCTCATTTAATTAAGTTAATCTCCGTTAATTATGTTAACATTAAGTTATATCGATACGTTCAATGCAAGTATTTGATAACCGTTTTCGAGAACCGTTTTCGACATTTGTAGGCAACGCTGACTTTTTTACATTTATGATTGCAAAAAGCATATAATAGTAGACGCATTCATCAATAGTGCTTATAAGTAGTAATATCAGGTTGCGTCAGAGTTGCGCGCGTGTTATGGTACTTATATTGCAAAAGTGAACGGAAAATTCGTAGAAAGAAACTTCAAGAGTTATCAGTAAAATAGTAGTAATACAGACACGATGAAATATATTCAATTCTAAGAATCATTATATTCAACGATGTAATTGCGTTGCATTCACAATGATTATGGGTTTAACTAAATATTACATATGGCTCTTTACATACTCGTTTTCAGTAATTGATCAAAATTTTCCGACAGTAGAAAATTCTCATTTTCTAGTCAAATGAGATGTATGACGATGTATATAGATAATCAAATTAGACATATATTCATATATGCCATTATTGATTATAGGTAGATAAAAACAAAGTAGCACGATTGGTGATCGGTGCCGCGGGCGGTACTAAAATTACGACTGCTGTTGCTTCCAATATAATATTAAATCTTTGGGCTGGATACAATATAAAGGAAGCGATCGATGCTTATAGAATTCATCATCAGGTAATGATATTAACTGATTATTATCAAATTACTACTGTTATTTATTGATTTTTCCATTTTTTTAATAAACACATCAAAAAAAAGTTTTGCATCACCTCGGTTCCAAGAGTTCCGGAACCGCTTTACATACAAACGAATTACGAAATAGAGATCAAGCAAACAATATTTCAGCTCTTTGTATTGCTCATGAAAACCACACATTGCATGTTGTATCATGTTGGTAGTGACATCTGCCTACATGACTAAACCTTTTGTACGGGTTTAGGGACATCTTAGTGGCACCTATGAACAGTCAAAGGGACTGTGTCAATGTCTCTCTATGTTCAAGAGATCTTGGAACCGAGGTGATGCAAAACGTTTTTTTTAATGTGTGTAGAACGAACATTATAAAAGATAGATTTTCATATTAAAAAACATAAGATAAAAAATACTAATAGCAGCATAATTACTAATAGTGCTTTTTTTTTACATAGTTATTACCGATGACAGTTCAAACAGAAAAAGGATACTGTCCTGATATAATACAATATTTACGTGATATTAAACATAATGTAACGACATTTACGGGTATAGGAAGTGCCATTACAGCAGTAGTAAATGATACAAATGGTATAACAGCGAATTCAGATTATCGAAGACAAGGAAGTGTGGCTGGATTTTAATCTTTTTCCTTCCATTTTCGTATTATTCCCATAATTTTTGTGCAAAATTTCAAATGAATAATGCACGATTCGTATTTTTTTTTTTTTTTTTTTTTTTTTTTCTGAACTCCAGTCCTTGATAGTGTGACAAGATTAAAACAAATCGAATATCAAATAGATCAAAATTTATAAAACGTATTCCTGTACTAAATGCCTTCATAATTCTATTCATAAGAATAAAAACAAACTATGTGCTCAGTATTTTAATTTAGTACGTTAAATAATATTCTATGGTATTCATTAGTTGATTAACAGCTTATGTAAATTAAGAGGAAAGAAAAAATCAAGTAAATTCTATATAATAATACTTATACTGCGAATTTACACTATAAACTGTGATTTTATTCATTTCTATTATTATGTAATAAAAAAAGAAATCAGCAAATATGATTTTCAAATTTTGGATTTCTAATTGTTATTTATTTTAATTAATTAATACTAATTACTATCACTACTTTCAGAAAGTTTCGCTTCTTGTACCATTTTTCGAACATTACGTTTGATCTTTTTAGTTTTATCTAGTCCAGATTTAGATTTTCTAAATACTTCTATTGCGTGCATTTTCCTTTTCAAAGAATTTGCTTTGTCTTTTTCCCTCTGTGGTATATATTCCTTGATATTTTTGTCATTATCATTAATAGATGTATTATACATCAACTTTTTACTTATATCCTTTGATTCAATAAGATCTATACTATCGCTTTTCTGTCTTTTATTTAGTGTTTTAGGTACTCGCTTGTTTACACGTTTTCCCATCTTTTCATTCGTATCAGTTTCATTTGTATTCAACTCTACATTATTACCATTTAAACTATTAACAGCTTTTTTAATTCTCTTACTTAAATTCATTTCAATGGACTTTGGTATTGCTTTTAATTTAAAATATGATTCTATCGTTTGTTGTTGTTTAGATTCCTCCATTCTTTTTATAACTGGCTTTATTATCTCATTAAATTTATCCTTAGTCCATCCAAATTTATGGCTCGTGTAGTCCGACAATAATATCAAATTAGGTCGACCCCATGTAAACTTTTCTTTAGATTCGTCTACCGCAGGGAACATATATGCTTGTACAACAGCTTGACTTGGAAAACCTATTTTAATCATATTTCATTAAATATAATCGACTTTCAATGAAAAATAATTACGCCTAGGTATTATGTTTCCAACTTACCTTTTTCAATTTGTATATTTTTCAACTTGTTACGTAAGGATTTTTTGCTAGAATCTATAGCTTTATCCCTTTGTATCCATAAACAAAAATTGATTAAACCATGTAACAAATTATCTCCTTGCGTGGGAAATGCGGCTAATATTTCAAGTGCTGTTACAGGACCAATACCAGGTATACCTGTAGTATAATCGCTTCCAACCAAAAGAGCCAATTGTATTAATTGATGACGAGTCAGTTCTAAGAAAAAATAATTTTATATATATATATATATGTGTGTGTGTGTGTATCAATACGTGCCAATACTATCACGTTTGTATGATATTACAAAATTAATATTCTAAGGTATCAATTTGTATTTCTTACTAAAATGATGTTGTATATCGCAAGATTGAAATTGTAATACTGTTTTGTTGTTATTGAAGAAGTTTTTATAAACGCATTGACCTCCAAAAAGCCAAATATCGGAGTCATCTGTGATCGTCCCATCGGTAAGATTAATCTGTTCTAAATAAGCACATTGAGCTTCTGCCTCCATTGGTGCAACAACGTAAGGTATACCGAATAAACGTAAAAGCTCCTATAATATTACATAATATTACATAATATTCTGTCTCACTCAATGAACCTCAATGAGAATTATAATAGACCATAAAAAATAATAGAACAAATTTTACCTGAGCCTCAATCCTAATTTGATCGGATATGTCTGTAGCTTGCCTCTCCAATTTACCCATAGTTTCCGTTAATTGAATTTGTTCATGCTCTAGATTTGCCTACATTTAGAAAATCTACCTAAGCACGAGTGTGAATATGAAACAGGATAATTACAATATATTTCTGCATTAAAACATAACTCTGTTTTAATTGACCATACCTTTAACTCTAAAAGTTCAGTCTCGTTCCTAGGCAAGATGTTTTCCTGTTTTCCTTTCGTCGTATCCTCCGATAATTTACCTTCATCACTAACAATTTTTGATTCTGCATCTATGAGAGTATTGTTATTTTGAATTTTTTTACTTTCTTCTTCATTCACAATACTTGATTGGATACTCATATGAACACGTTCTTTGTTTTTATCACTGTCAATGCTGTTTTTATCTAATGAAATTTCGTTAAAACTACAACTTTTCGATATTAATGTTCCTGAAAGTTCACTTTTGTCCTCATTCTTCGTCTTATTTTTATTTAAATCTTCAGAAACTATCTTTGAAACAGTGTGTTCTATCGATGAAGAGGTAACAGCAGATTCAGTAAAATGTGAAAATATATCTCGACTTGGCTCTTTAAATACATCAGCAAATATATCATCTTCTTCAATTTTGTCATCAGATTTAAATGTTATTTCAATATCATGTTTTTTAGTAATCTCTTTTGAATAAAGTACTGGAACATCTGGTATTTCGATAAATTCATCAGAATCTGAATCTGTCGTATGTGTATCTAACTGACGCATATTTCTTATAGGGACAGGTTGTTTCTGACACTCGACTCTCTCCTCGCATGAAATGATTTCATCATTATCTTTTATAAACTGCAAATCGCTACTACTATGCTCAATGCTTTCTGTCGTAACATTCGAAGTAGAGTTCTCTGAAACTGAGTACAAAGATATATTCTTCTCCACAATTTCTTTGACATCTAATATATTGTCTTCAGTAATATTATCTTCTTTCATTTGTTGATGTTTCATTACATTATTTGTAGTTGAATCTAATGCAGATAATGATTTTGTACTTCCACTTGAATGAGTATCAGTTATTTTTGTTTTACTCTCTTTTCTATTTTGTTCCATAAGCTGAATAATTTGTTCTTGCGTCAAACCGCTATGCTCTAACATATATGCTAAAGCAGGATTAATGTTATTTTTACTCAAATATTTATTAGGAAACGGTAAAGATTCATTTTTTTCACTTTCTGATTCCCAATCGCTACCAAATTCATATTCATTTATATTATCAATAATAGGTACAGAGTTGCTATAACTTGTTAAATTACTGTCACTATCTCCATCGCTTAGTTGAAATTTATTTAAGCTATTTTGAGTTATTGTAATACCACTGGGGCCTGCAACAGGTTCAACTTCCTCATTTATGCTCTCTTCTAAGACATCTTCCTTACTTGTTTTATCCTCAGTAGAAGTATTACGAATTAATTTATCTTTATCTAAAAAATAATCCAAAATAATCCAAAATAATTAATAATAATAGACTTATTTAATATTTCTTTAATATTTCTTTAAAAAGATACTTATATATATATATATATATATATATTAAGAAAATAGAGAAATTTAGAAATACGTTATTTATTAGTTAACTCAACTTACCGCTAATATAAATGACTCTAGACGTACTGTCCGATGCAATGCGGTACGCATTATCTCTATTAGTCTGAACACCCTGTTCGGTTAATAATTTTTCCAATTCCTCTAAAGTTAAAGTTTTACCTCCCATTTCTTTTTCGGCAGTTTCTAACGATTCTTGTACAAATCTACGTTTTAATAAGCGTTTCATTTGAAAAGTAGAAAATTTATTAGTTTCCTGAAATAAAAATAATGTCATAATATGAATTTACAAATTCCAAATGAACTCGAATTTTGTAAAACATGATAAAATAAAATAAAATAAAATAAAATAAAATAAAATAAAATATATATACTTCAGGCATTTCATGTAAACGTCCCCATGAACTCTGTTTTCTAGTCTCCTTAAGATCTGTAAGAATGTCATAACGCACATCAGCAGGCAGTGATTTAAACTCCGCAGTAGACAAATCTACACTGTGAATATTGCCCATCCATTTAGTTTGCTTTCTTGGACTTAATTGCATAGATGAATCTGAGTCATCACTACTTATATACTCCTTTCCATCCATATTAGTTAATTCTGGTAGTTTGAAAACATCATTTACAGATGATTTACTATAAATATGTTTTATTGTTGATATTTCAGAAGATTCAATATTTTCATCTACATTTTTCTTATTTAATGCACTTTTCACAACTGTATGCTTTATCAAGTTATTTATCAAATCTGCCCTCATCTTCTGTGCCTTACTCGTAGCAATAGATTTCTGCTTCCTGCGTGCAGCCTACAAACACAAAAGAATGAGGAGACTCTTTTCTCACTACCTGGTTCTCACGCTGTGCTAATTATCTACAGGTAATATTATAATCAAGATAGATGAACAACTTTACTACAATACGCTTCTCTTGCTACATTCTATGTTATTTCAATCTTTGCGAAAAAAAGAAAAGAAAGAGCTAATTTATTACATAAAAATATATTAATAAAATATTGATTGGCACACTGCTTTACGCTACTACTTACAATTGTAGATTTTTTAAGCATAGGGACACCCCCATCAAAGACAAATACCGGTTTGATTTTATAGTACAATAGTTTACAAATCCTATTAAATAATCCGATTAGATGGGCATTAGGTTTAGGATTACCATGACGATCTTGATATCCTTGCAACACCTGATGAATCCATATAGAGACATCTAAAAAATGGCATTAAATTTGCCATTGAAATATTACGATTACGTAATATAAAGTAATTAAGAGAGTAATGTTCAAAATATAAATATAAAAATTAATCGTTACCCACCGATAGCTAAAACTTTTCCTTCTAATGTTTCCAAAGGAACTGCTTTTCCAGTAGCTTCAATTAATCGCCATAGGCCAAGTACTCCCATGATATCAGAATACAATTTCTACTTTGTTTAGTATATATTAAATATGGAAAATTCGTAAGAAAAGATTAAAAATAATATGAATACTTTGACAATGTACTTTCTGCCATCAGCATTATCATGTCGTATCTTTATCCATAGTCTAACTTATTCTAAAAAGTTGTACTTACATTATCGTTTCCTATGAAATATTCCAATAAATGCTAAAAAATTATCATTTGTTACGATATATAATACATATATAAATATTTCTTAATTTTTATTATTTAACGATAATTAATATTAGAATGTAAAATGATTATCGTATAGACAGACTGATGTGACGAGCAGCTGATAAAAGAAAACAATACAACTAGCGCACCCTGTTAGCGATACAGGTTAAACAGCTAACAGCTTTATACAATACAATACTAATTATAAATCCATATATGACTATTGCTATATTATTCGTTATATTTTGGTTTGAAATCCTCTTTCTTCAATAAATTTATTAATATTTAGTATAAATTAATAATCCTTTTACGAGTAGTTTTTCTTTTATATAGATATTATTATTATTATTAATCTTATTTCGTATTAATAACATTATGAAAAATAGACAAAATAATGATAAAGTTATGTAAATATATTGATAAATGAAATGTATACATTTCAAGATATAATATACATGTTCATAAGTGTATGAATGTATTTGTGTATATAAAAGAGTGTAAAAGAGTTTTCCTTTTTTAACACGTTCTTTTCTCACGCTTCAGTTTTACTAGCAGCGGTTAGATGAGCGAAAAAATGGAGAGATGATCTTTCTCTTGGAACAATATTCTATTCCACAATTTGCCATCTCATATATTTATCTTACGACTAGGGCATATTATAAGAATATAAAAACACTATTCCTAATTGCATAAATATTTATTTACTAATAAAACTTATCTTATTATGTATATAGTCTAAAGTTAAGTAAGACGTATCAAACTTATTTGGATTTTCTTGATTTTTACTTTGATTTTTACATTTTTAATTGTAAAAACAATAGGAAATTATTTTTTATATCATAATGAGTACTTTGAAAGACAAGAAATTCGAAAAATTACATGAGAAGAGTACTACATTCAAAAAGAGATTGCATACGTGAGTAAAACGATAATTAAAAGAATTGTAGGAGATTAGGTCATTTAAATGACAACAACAACAAAAAAAAAAAATAAAAGGAAAAGAACATCCATATAATTGATATCCACTATGCTGTAAAAATATAATTGTTTTTTTCTTTTTTACTTTTCATTCGCTTACTATTACAATCTAAAATAACGTCAATTTTTTAAAAGACCGTTGTTTGAAAATAAAACAACGATCATTATTATTAATGTCATTCATATATTTTATATTTATTTGAGTATCGATAAAGAAGCGATCAGGCAACCAACCGTAGTACTATTATAAGCATTAACTTGGAGCGTTCACGCACACGTTCTATATTACGCAGCAAGTCATGGATGCGGCGACGACGACGACGACGACGACGACGACGACGACGACGAATGCACGCAACGTGCAACAACGCGTGCACTAACACACACATACATACATGCGGGCAGAGTATGAAACTCTTTTTCTCTCTCTCTCTCTCTCTCTCTCTCTCTCTCTCTCTCTCGGCGCAACGGTTTATATACATCGTATCGTCATCATCGCAAAAGTGGAGTGAGGTAGAGGCCACCCACTCTTTCCCACAGCAGGTTTTTCCCACGCCCCCTAGGGTAACCCCAACATCCTTTTGCGGGAGCAATTCCACGGTCGGTCGGGGAGAGAGGGGAATAGTTCGTTTCAGGTGGGGAGCAAAAGAGGTATTGGAGGCGCTTGGATCGGACGGGCCATTGTACAATAGTAAAACAATAGAAACTACAATCCAGTGATGTAACTCTGTTGTTTCGAATAATTGCAATATTTTTTTCAACAGTTTAGTCTTGATTTTTCTTTAAAAAAAAAAAACTCGAATTTGTATGAGAAAGAGCTTTCCATCAATATTTCAATTTAAAAGAATGAACAAAAGCAAATTATTAACTATAGGAAATATTGTTCTGATAAATAAGAAAAAACGTAAAGAAAGATAAAGTCGAAAAGTGATATTTTAGATAGCGAGGAATGACTTATTTAAAGGTACAAAACAAAATTCAAAGCAACTCGTTTACTAAAAAGAGCACCCTTTAGATTGCATTATTTAGAATACGGCCCTGCTGCAGCCACTTACGCGGCGGTAATAACTCTACGTTGTCGCGCCGAACTTAGTTACTCGATGAGTGTCGGTAGGAGCGAGCGTTTCACGCGTTCCAAATAACTAGATGCACTTTTTCACTTGCTCATCTCTAAGTTTTTGAAAGAACGCGATAAACGTTATTTATTTCTCTCGCATTGATATATTTTGTATTTATTTTTTTTATTTTTTTTGTTTTTTTTTTATGTAAGTGTATATTTATGTACATCTTGTTTGTTCACTAAACGCGATTGGTTCTTTATACTATTAATATCATTCCAAGGAAAGAGGAAAAATCAGGTGATCATATGCTGCATTGCGTACTTTGAAAGGACATTTAAATTGGCGCGCGAATTCGCCCGGCGAATGTTTTTCGTTTACTTCGGTTGGTAGGACTGTTCGGAAAATTCGGAAAGTGAACAGGTGTTTTTTGAATGGATTAGCGTGAGAGAGAGGCGAAGAGAGAGAAAGCAAAAGAGTAGACGAAAAGGATGCGTAAAGTTTCGGTGAATGGTGAACGATCGGCGGCGAATTGAAAGAAATTTACAAATGATTGAGGCCCAAGAATATATAAATGAACACAAATTCACATTGGGTTTACCAATGAAAATGAGGTGAGTCCTAGGAATGTAACCTCAGTTTTATGTGAGCAGTGTATTCCAATAAGAAAAAGGTAAATAAACAAATGTGATACTTTCATAGGTTACAATGTAAAACCCATATGATGTTAATAAGAGAGTAAAAATATAAGGTATTTATATAAATTATGAAAATAATGTTTAGTATTTTTTGTTCATTTTAAATTGTTACCAATAAAAAATATTGTTTCGATTTAGATAGAGAGAGAGAGAGAGAGAGAGTCGCTTAATTGTCTTATTTATCTGTCGAGGCGGTCAGTTCGTCAGTATGTCGGTATTTGTTGTTATTACGCTCTTGTATTTCTAATTTTTTCACTCATAAGGTTCAATCATGTTACATTTTCATAACACACACGTTCTTTTTTCTCTTACTGTTTTACCTTAATTGCCTGCGTTCGTAACGTTACGATGAATTGCGCGATTTAATTGGGAGTGATTCTCTTTGAGAAATTTATATAATAACGAGCATAGAAAATCTCGTCAAAGAATAGAAGAAACTATATCTTAAGTTTTCATTTCGAAATCTTTATTCAAGAAATATTCTGTGATAGAAATAATTATGCTTTGTAATATCCGTTTAATGACGCGCAAATATGATTGCATCTATAGATGTAATGATTTTGTAATTTATTTACATCTCATGAAATATTTAAACTTATTTCTAGTTAAACTATATATATATATATATATATATATATATATATGTATAATTCGTTTTAGTATATAAATTATGCAATAGAAAACTCGAAGATATCCTGTCAAAGTCAACCAAAGTTTTTTGCAAGTAATGCTATATAGATATGCGTTGCAATCATTTGTATAGATGTACATTGAAATTACTAAAACATTACATATTACTTTATTATTAATCTCGTTAAAATATTAGTTTTGTAGTTTTTTTTTTTTTTTTTAATGTTTTGCTATAAAAGTATAAGAAATATAATCCTTTGTTATTCTAAAGAAGGAAAAAAATATGAGATATCATAAAAGTGGATAATATAATATATTGTAAAATGAACAGTTGTGATAAAGGTGTTAGATGAAAAATTTGGAAAATTTGAACAAATGTAATTTATTATTGAAATATATTTAATGAATTGTTGATGTAACAGTGAATGGTTAGTATGACCATCAGAATGAATCCATTAATTGGTAAAAGAAAAATGATCTCAGCTTGGTTCCCATGGCACGCATACATTTGCGCTTCTTCCTGTATTAAGGCAAGCAATTCTCAGTTGTTAGTTTAAAAACAAGATGTTGTAGGTTAATTACCGCTTGTGTTAGAAAAAATAAAAAAAAGCAACAATATTTCTCACGATAAAGCTTTAAAGTAAAGGAAAGTATACTTAGAAATTTAATGAAAAGAATTGATGAAAATTCATCAATAACACACTACTATTATAACACTTATTATAAAGATTAATTTGATGAAAACTTGAATTGTTTGTTGATGAATTATTCAATTATTGTTGTTGTTGTTGTTGTTATTGTTGTTCTTTTTCACAGGTAAGATCGTAGAAATGAAGAGGAGGATATAACTAGCCAGAGAAGTAAAGTATTGCAGAAAGATAATTTGGAAGGGATAAAATTAAAATTGAAATATGCCACACCAATTTGGATTGCCCACGATGGCTCATGGGATGCAGTCTCCTCCGTCGCCGACTTCAGTCATGTCGGTCTATCCTCGCTATGGCTCAGCAGGCTTGTATAGATCCGATCAACAAGAGCAGAGACTTACACGCGAAGCAATGGAACGTTATCTACGCGATCGAAGTGACATGGTGATTGTAATTCTGCATGCTAAGGTAGCACAAAAATCCTACGGTAATGAAAAGCGATTTTTCTGTCCTCCACCGTGTATTTATTTATTTGGTGATGGTTGGAGAATGCGTCAAGAACAGATGCTTCGTGAAGGTGAAAGTGAACAATCCGCACAGCTTTGCGCTTTCATTGGAATTGGCAATTCCGAACAAGATATGCAGCAACTTGATCTCAATAATGGAAAACAATATTGTGCAGCGAAAACGTTATATATTTCAGATTCTGACAAAAGGAAACATTTTATGCTCTCTGTTAAAATGTTTTATGGAAGTGGACACGACATTGGTGTATTTCATAGTAAAAGAATAAAAGTCATATCTAAACCTTCAAAGAAAAAGCAATCGTTAAAAAATGCTGATTTATGTATTGCAAGTGGTACAAGGGTAGCACTTTTTAACCGTTTAAGATCACAAACTGTTAGCACCCGCTATCTCCATGTAGAAAATGGTAATTTCCATGCAAGTTCTACACAGTGGGGTGCATTTACGATTCACTTGTTGGATGATAATGAAAGCGAATCAGAAGAATTTCAAGTGCGTGACGGATACGTCCATTATGGTAGCACTGTTAAGTTAGTATGTTCAGTCACAGGAATGGCATTACCGCGTTTAGTAATCCGCAAGGTCGACAAGCAAATGGCCAGTCTCGAAGCAGATGATCCTGTATCGCAGCTGCATAAATGCGCCTTCTATATGAAAGATACCGATCATATGTATCTTTGTCTTTCTCAGGAACGTATAATACAATTTCAAGCAACGCCATGTCCTAAAGAAGCAAATAAGGAAATGATAAATGACGGTGCTTGTTGGACGATAATTAGTACAGATAAAGCGGAATATCAATTTTTTGAAGGTATGGGACCAGTGAGATCGCCCGTAACGCCGGTACCGCTTGTCCATAGTCTTCACTTAAATGGCGGCGGAGATGTTGCCATGCTTGAATTAACTGGTGACAATTTTACTCCTAATCTTCAAGTATGGTTTGGAGATGTAGAGGCAGAGACAATGTATAGATGTCAAGAAAGTATGTTATGTGTTGTACCTGATATATCACTCTTTAGAGGAGAATGGTTGTGGGTACGTCAGCCTACGCAAGTTCCAGTTTCTTTAGTACGAAACGATGGAATCATTTATGCAACTGGTCTAACATTTACTTATACTCCGGAACCTGGTCCACGTCCGCATTGCCCACCAGCAGATGAAATAATGAGGGCCCCACGTGCCATGCACAATCAAGCTAGTATGTCATCAGCGATAGCTGATGTACCATGGAATACACATCAACCTCCACAATCAGGTCTCTGATGTTCTCTAGATAATTATAATATTAACCAAAGTCTAAAATATAGTGATACAAATGATGATATTATTTCATTTGCATCCATTGACAATATCATTGCAACCATTGACAATAGCATTTATGTCAAGAAAATGTTAGCCATGGAAGTCAATCAAATATCTGCACGATATTTAGACAGTATAAAAATAACGTAACACTTTGTAAACACCTTGTAAAAGGTGTTCAAAATATATGTACAATGACGTGCATTATTTACATACTACTAATATATGGACATACAATATGTTGATACAAATTTACAGAGATAATAATTTATAGCAATCTTAGACTCTTAGCGTAAGAGTTGACATGATAAAAATGTGAATAATTAAATGTGAATTATGCAATAAAAAGACACGTTAACGGGTTTTAAGAGAAAGACATATGATTCAAAGCTCATAGGATAATATATATATATATTACTCAAATATAACAACAGCATAACAGGATAACAGCATAACAGCATAATTGTATATTAATATGTATATGCAATGTAACTAGTATAATTGCATATCAATAGGGAAGGAATGGTTGTGCATTTAACAGTGAATTCATTCACTTTTACTAAATCTTTAATAACTATTGTTATATTAAAAGAATATAGTTATACATAAATATTTTAGGTGCAATGTGTCTGGAAATGAGCATAAATCAATATTTTGCACATTTATAGATTCATATAAGACCGAGATCACACACACGCACACACACGCGCGCACACACACACACATACACACACAGAAATTTTATTATTTATTAAGTCATCCATTAAATCATGAAGCTTTGAATGAATATGAGTACGCGTGTTTGGTGCGTGTAAATCAATCTTGGCTCCATAAAGATTAAGAGACAATGTAGTTTATCTCTACTACCATGACACCTAAACAACCTTTTTCTTGGTAGATATATTTTGGTTGATATATCGATTTATTCTAATAATTGTACATTTTTAATGAAGATGTAAGTTGCTTCGATCTAAATGTTTTGATGACTTTAATGTCATCATTTCTAAACTGATACTATATGTATATTTGTATGTATTATTGATCATTTGATAGATCTTCTTCTGCAAGATGCATTGTATTTCAAAACATAGCTGCTTATCATATGTATATTGTGGAAAGAATAATTTTTTTTCTACAAAAATATGGCTTCTATAATAGACGAAAGACAAAACTCTATTACCATTATTGACTATAATTAGGAATTTCTTTAATAATATATATTTTCTAAAGAAAAAGAGAACAAGCATTAGATTGAAAAGCTATACATATGAGTTTCTATGTCGCTATGTGTTGTAGAATAAATTGACATAATTGACATTATACCATTTTTACTTTATGTTCCAAAATGTTTCCTATTCCTAAATACTACGATGAAAATAAATACAGCGTTTAAGAAAAACAAATAGTCAACGACTATTACAATATATAGTACAGTAATATGCATAAAGACAAATTCTATTATATTTGAAAATAGTATAATCTGTACATAATAGAAATTTCTACGTTATAATTACAAAAATGTTGTTGAGTGTATTTTAATAAATAAGTCATATGTATATAATATAATTGAGCGTATAAAAATAGGTATTTATAATAATATTTATAATTATTAAAAATTATTGGGACTATTGATGGAGGTGTTAATTCATCTTCGTACCTGTAAATATATTATACTATTTTATCTTTTATATACATGAATTATCTACGGAATAAAGCATACGTACGTATGTTTTTAAAAAAGTTTTTAAAATTAATAAACATTCAAAAACTAGTACTTAAGAAAATTTCATTAATCAATTAAACTTCATTCGTTTTAATTTAAGATTCAGTTGAAATAAATCTGGTTCATTAGGTTCATGTCAGGGTTGTTTTTTTCTTTTTTCTTTTTCTTTTTTTCCTTTTAACCAAGTATATTTGAACGTAGTCGTCTCAAGGAGGAAATGAGATAGCATCATCTTAAGAATGTCTTCCTGAAAAGATCTATTGTGAAAGGAAAACATGTATATGTTCCATGGGAACTTACCCACGATTAACACTTGTATCGCATAATTGAAGAATACTATTGTCTTTATTATTCACAATATATAAATGTGGATTAATAGTAATTATATTCTTTAATATCATTGGACGGATACAAGTATACAAGTTTATGTAGTTTCTGATTTTCCTTTTTCGTTCTGTCTTTTTTTTCTTTCTTTTTTGTTATAATTTACGAATCTCTATATCGTTAAATAAACACTTAAAAAAATTCTTTCGTAATATTTTCATATTCACAACTTACGTACAACAACATTTATTACCTTATTGTTGTTTTCAACAATTTTATGTACTATTTAAATAATAAGAAAAATGTCATTTATATCGAAATCGAATAGTATATGCTTCAGCACAAAGTTCTTTGATTATGTATATATATATATATAAAGCAGATTTTAATATTTTACAAAATTCCATAAAGTCTTATTCATAAATAAATCATATACAATGCTTTTTAAGATCATTCTTTTCTATAGATATACTTTTATTCCCTTTGTATTATCAATTGTACCGTAAATTGTAAATTGAACGGTAAGAGTGAAACAAATAAATCTGGCTTTTATACTTATTTCTAATATAAAACGAATAAACTAAATAAGAGTAATTTTCTTGTATTTAAACAATATAGTGTTGACAAATTTAATACTGTAATTATAATTTAATTAGAGAAATATAAAACTTTATAATATTTATTTAAAAAGAAACAAAAAAATAAATAAAAAGATGCCACATAAAAGCATAATAATGAATGTGTTCTTTGCATGATAAATAATACCACTAGAACACTAGAACATTGTATAGTAAATATAAACAGTCATAAACAACAATATTTCGATACGGTCAAATTGAGTTTGCCCTAAAATTACTTACATTTTGTTTTAAATTATAAATTTCTAATGGAAAGTGTATAGTTATTCTTCCTCTTCTCTCTCTCTCTCTCTCTCTCTCTCTCTCTCTCTCTCTCTCTCTCTCTCTCTCTCTATCTATCTACCTATCTATCTACCTATCTATCTGTCCATCTCTCTTTCTTTCTCTATTGTTATTTTCTATTACTTATATTTAAAAAATAGAAAAATGTACGAATTATTTGTTAATCGCTTTGGAGGGAACACGACACGTATACAGCTATAAATCTATTTCATTCTTATTGTACGTTGCTTATTCATATTTGTGAGCATTAATGAAATATATGACGTTAACAGATCATCCATTTTATAACCAAGTGAAGTTTCACACAAGAGTTTCGAGCCTCTTACCAAGTTTCCTATTGTCATATGAAAATAAGTATTACCAGATGACCAATTAGAGATTCTAGTAAAAGGATGTGTTATTAAGATATCCTAAAAAAGAAGTTATATGACGTTAATTAATATGAATTTATTTTGACAGTATATTAGATATGTAATATGAACAATCTATATATTAAATTACCTTTGTTTGAGGATGTATTACGCTTACTCCATGTTTATTAATTGCAATTAAAAGTAATTCTGGATAATTTGGTTCTGTAGTTTGTTTAACTTCAAAGAATGCAGATCCAAACGTTGGCCACCGATAAACTATTTTCAAAAATGTTATTTTGCCATCCTCTGGACTCATTCCTAATAAATAATAAATGATTACATTTATTAGAATGATACTATGATAAAGACATTTTACTCGTATAAGAAAATTATACGAATTTTTGTATTTTTATTACTTACCAGCATCCTGATTATATGCAGCTATTATAGATCTTTTCCAGTCATTAGAATTTTGTATCTTTACCAAATCGCTTGGTATAAGTTCTCTTAACATTTGTCTATTTAAAATAAGTATAAAACAAATAACTGATTTATTAAATTTAATAAAATCAACAACTCATATAGACATGAGTTTAATCAAAAACTTACGGAATCGCCTGAAGTTCTTGTTTACTTTCTCCAAAACGTACTCTATATACCAATGCTGCTAATCTTGAAGCTTCTTCTTTAGTACATTTATGGTATCCTACAAATGTTCAAATAAACGTGATAATTACTATATCAAAATACTGATATTATATTAAAACATTTGAAGATATACCTCTGAGTAACTTTGGAAGTTCTTGATGAAAGTGGAATATAAGATCCGCATTTCTGTCTTTCCCAGGAACTGTATTTGTCCATAGTTTTTTCATAAAGAATACTTGATACGTGAACTGGGGTGAAGCTACAGCAGAACAGGCAGCAGATATGGACACGGATATGTATATGTATATGCATATGGATATATGAGTGTATAGTTTAACATTTAATTAAACTTAATTTAAGAGCAGCTTACTTACCATCCCGCGATGGTCTAGCTTTTTTGATCCAGTCTGTTAAGTGGCGCACAAAATCGAAAAAGAAATCACCTTCTGGTACTGAAATGACCTTATCTGCGATTTTGACAAATAAACTAAAACCTTCTGCAGAACGTAAATTAAGTCTTTGTGCAATATTTTGACAAAAATCTTTTGCTCTTGTAGATGAATCAACCTCAAACGCCTATGCACAAGAGAAAGAAATATATGAAGAGAAATATTTGACAAATAGGTAGGTAGTAAAGTATGTTTACCTCGTCAGTATCATCTGGAAAATATACTTTATGAAATATTTGCGTTGTCTTATGTTGAATAGCTTCTACTTCCACTTGATGAGGAGCATATTTTCGTTGACCGTTACGTAAAGTTTTTTGAAGCCTTTGTAAAGAATCTTGAGATATAGGATGCCGTCTTGTGCGCAAAAATAATGTTAATTCCTGCAATTAACAATACATAGCTATGAATGAGATGCAAAGAATTAAAATAAATATGATACTACACTCGTATATCATATATTAATCGTACTTTAAGAAGACTTTGACTACAAGTAAAAAGTCCAGTAGCGAGCCACATCAACTCCCATCCCCGTTCTTCGCTAAGTCTATTACAATTGTCGGTTAATTGCTTCATTATTTGACAATAAATTTCGTCTCTTAATATTTCATTCTTTAAAGGACCATCAAAAATAAGATCAGTATATTCATTGCCTATTCGAGGTCTTTTGGTAGGCAAATCACCCATATATTTTAAAATAGCATTAAAGGCAAAACACGCTTCTTCTGCAAGTTCTTCCTTAGATATTAATTTTTTTAAAAGCGGTTGCTTTATCGGTTCTCTCGAGTGATGCCATAATTCATCTGAATGACCTCTCCTTGCGGTTGTCAAAGTTAAAGCTTTTGACATTGTTCTTTTAGGCGGAATTCTAAAACAAATCAATGGTATTATATATAAAATATGAATATTTTAATTATTTATTTATTAATATGCGAGATTCATTTTTTGCGACAAAATGTATATTATACCGAAAGTGGTCAATAGCATATTCCATAAGAGTATGAGGTTTGTCTCGAGATTCAACTCCATTTATTTGTTGAGGATACAATTTACGGCCATTTTCAGTACTACTTTCCATGCTAAACAATGCCTATATAAAAAGAAATATTTTTATATTTAAATAGTATGTGGGTGGGTGTGTGTGTGTGTGTGTGTGTGTGTGTGTGTGTGTGAGAGAGAGAGAGAGAGAGATATGATAAATTTGTACCAATATATCATTCGGGGGCTTAGTAAGAGACGGTAAAACGTAAACTGTCTCTGCAGGGAAATCTCCCTTCTCGCCAGTTCTTTCG